AGGCTGGAACTAATGGTGCTCAGCAGCAAGACGCACAAGCACCAGCCATGAGCGCGAGCTTCCCTTCGCGCTGGAGAGCGGCGCGCGCTCAGTCCCCAGGACCGCTTGGTCGGACGCTTTAGGCTCATTTAAAGAAACAGCCACAGTTTCCCAGCAGACTAAAGATACTGTATTCTGATTTTAGCCTCCATTAGGTTTCCCCGCACACCTGTCCTCGGAAAGCACCCCCCCCCCCCCCACCACAGGCCACGCCCACTCGCGAAGTCCCACCCACCAGAGACCCCCCCTCCCCCAGCCTAGAAGCGCCCCTGACCCTGAAGCCCCGCCCAGGCCCCCATCCCGGAAGCTGCGCGCGCAGCGAGTAAGCGGCTTCAGCAGTTAGGGTTGAGTACACGGCAGGAGCAGACGCTGCGGAAGAAGCGGCACTGGCAGGAGGCGCACGGGTCGCAGCAGGCGGGCGCAGGCGGCTTGCAGCTGTCTCGGGTGGCCACGCAGGGCGTGGGTGGCGGGGGCCGGGCCACCTTCTTAATCGAAGCCTTTTTCTGTAGGAGAGACGTGGGAGGCTGCTGAGCGGGCCACCCTGGTCCCACGCGTCCTCATCTGCAGTGGAGGTATGGGACCAGAGACCTCGGCCCCGCTGCCCACCTCTACTCATATGCACAGGCCATCCTAGGGGGTCCTGCCCTCCGCCCCCCAACCTGCACACCGCCTTCGTCTTCAAGCTTACCTAGCTCCGACCTGGCCCTTTTCTTAGGAGATCCCACTCAGCCCCAGTTTTAAACACCTTCCGGCTTCACTTCAAGTCTCATCCACCATCCCTGTCATCCGCTGCCACTGTTTTTTGTTTTTTGTTTTTTTGTTTTTGTTATATATATTTTTTATTTTACAATACCATTCAGTTCTACATATCAGCCATGGGTTCCCCTGTTCTCCCCCTCCCACTCCCTCCCCTTACCCCCAGCCGACCCTCCATTCCCACCTCCAGGACAAGTCCTCCCCCGAGGACTGTGATCAACTTGGTAGACTCAGTCCAGGGAGGTCCAGTCCCTTCCTCCCAGACTGAGCCAAGCGTCCCTGCATAAGCTCCAGGTTTCAAACAGCCAACTCATGCAATGAGCACGGGACTTAGTCCCACTGCCTAGTTGCCTCCCAAACTGATCAAGCCAATCAACTGTCTCACCTATTCAGAGGGCCTGATCCAGCTGGGGGCCCCTCAGCCTTTGGTTCATAGTTCATGTGTTTCCATTCATTTGGCTATTTTTTTTTTAATAATTGAGTAAAACTGAAATTTATTATATGCCACAGTCGTCCTAGGGACCTCCATGCTATATATATAGCCTCTATGGTTCTATGGGTTGTGGTCTGATTGATCTTTATTTTATATCTAGAATCCACCTATGAGTGAGTACATAACTGTCTTTCTGGGTTTGGGTTACCTCACTCAGGATGATTTTTTCTAGTTCCATCCATTTGCCTGCAAATTTCATGCTTTCATTGTTTTTCTCTGCTGAGTAGTACTCCATTGTGTATATGTACCACATTTTTTTCATCCATTCTTCAGTTGACGGTCATCTAGGTTGTTTTCAGGTTCTGGCTATTACAAATAGTGCTGCTATGAACATAGCTGAGCATGTATCTTTATGGTATGAATCAGCATTCCTTGGGTATATGCCCAAGAGTGGGATGGCTGGGTCTTGAGGTAGTTCAATTCCTAATTTTCTGAGAAACCGCCATACTGATTTCCACAGTGGTTGTACAAGTTTACATTCCCACCAACAGTGGAGGAGTGTTCCCTTTGCTCCACATCCTCTCCAACATTGGTTGTCATCACTGCCACTGTTTTAGGCCTCATTACCTTCTTCCCCTTAGTGGCCCTGTCTTCTAGAGTTACCATCCTCCAGTGCACCAAAGAAGGCCCTTCCTATGACTGCATCACCTGCGTTAAGGCTCTCCAGTGATTTCTCTGGGGAGAAACAAATTTTCTTTTGGCCCTGGAGGACCTACCTCTATGTTTGGCCTCTTCCCTCCTCTCCTGTTGTAGGCTACCCCATAGCCTAGGGACATGCTAGTACTAGTAGTCACAGCTTGTGTGCTGTTCAGTACTAAAATGCATACAATAGAGGAACTGAGTTTTCTAAGTTTAAAGCAAGCATATAAAGTACTTTCCTGTTAAACATAAATTTACTCAGACCACATTTAACATTGAAATTGAGGTTTGCCGTGTGTGCTATACACCAGATTTCAGAGACTGCATAAAAACAATTTTAAAAGTTGTTTATATGGGGGGGGCGGGTGGCATACACCTTTAATCCCAGCACTTGGGAGGCAGAGGCAGGCGGATCTTGAGTTGGAGACCACCAGCCTAGTCTACAGTGTGAGTTCCAGGACAGCCAAGGCTACATACACAAAGAAACACTGTCTCAAAAAAAAAAAAAAAGTTTATATGTTTAAATATTAATACTTTAAATATGCCGAGTCTAACGTTTTTTAACGTGCTATTAGAAAATAGAAAATTATGTATAGATGGCTTATACTGTGTTTCTATTAGACATTGCTCTAGAGCAGAGCTTCTCAACCTTCCTAATGCTGTGACCCTTTAATACAGTTCCTCATGTTGTGGTGACCCGCAACCTTAAAATTATTTCATTATTGCTTCATAACTGTAATTTTGCTACTGTTATGAATCATATTGTAAATACCTTATATGTGACCCCTTCAGAGACGTGACCCCCCGTGTTGAGAACCGCTAATCTAGATTACTAAATTTTTCATTTAAATGCATGTAGGCCTTCACCATGCTTCAGTTTCTTCACAGAATGTATCATGTAAAAATGTAAACTTGTTTATTGTTTTACTTGCGGCCTGGTGTCCCCACACAGATGTACGCTCCACACAGCAGTATCTCTTGTTCATGGCTGAATTCCCAGCACCTAGCAGGTACATATATTTTGTTCTCTCCTCCCTGCTGGTTGCAGCTGATCCAATTAGCCGAGGCACACTAAAACAGGAATAGTGTGTGAATTCAACAGTGCCTCATCTGGTATTTATTAAAGTGTGGGAACCTGTATCATAGCAATCTGGTTTTAGGTGGTGGGTACAAAAACATTAAATGGTCCTTAATCACTTAGTGAAAAGATGTTCTTTTTTCTGTCTTTCAACTTGAAAGGTGCTAACATGTCCTTTATTGCTTTCAAACACATTCTTACTGCCTTTTAACAAAGCAGGCTTTAGAGCTTTTAGCAGCTAATAACATCCAGCTGACTTCAACACTAACAGGGTGATATATATATATATATATTCCCCATAGTGGGAATTGAACTCATGGCTTTGCATGTTATAGGCAAGCTTTACTACTTCACCATATCCCCACACTTTTAAAATGTTTATTCTGTGACAACATCTCAATTTGCCCAGAAGGACCTTGAATTTGCTGCATGGCTCCAGCAGCCCTTGAATTAGGGGTCCCCCTGTTCCTGCCTCCTAGGCAGCTGGGGTTACAAGCCTGTACTGCTAGGCTTATTTTCATTGAGTCTTTAACTCTAGCTACAGCAAGTGATATTAGTCTTCTATCATACTTCTGTTTTTCAGTGGTTGTGCAGCCCAGGCTCATTCAGAACTTGGCTTGTAGTTTGGGATGACCGTGAACTCCTGATCTTCTGCGTCCACCTCTCAAATCCTGGGAGTACGGCTGTGTGCCACCACACCCAACCTCTGTTTTCTGTTCTTGACATTTTCTGCTTTGTAAACAGGTGAGACAGCTGGGCAGGGTAGCCTGGATCTGTAACCTCAGCACTTGGGGCGCTCAGGACAAGGAGGATCGCTAGTTTACAGGCAGCCTGCACTACATAGCAAAAGCTTGTTGAGAATACTCTAAGGCTCGGTGATGGAATGCCTGCCTAGCTTGCACAAGGCCCTGTAAAGGAGGAGTTCGAAAAGAAACTCGGGTCCAGCAAGAGCGGTTCTGCAGCGCTTGGGGCTTAGGTAAATATCCAGAAGAATGGGTGGCCGCTTTCAGGAAGGGGCTGGGGGTTCTTAACTAGAAGTGGCAACTTTTTTAGCAGGTGGCTGTTTTGCTCAGTGAACTCAGGCTTTCTGGCTTCTATGGAGGTCGGCCTCAAGGCTCTAGGCCAGGAAACCTTTAGGTTGTTTTCACTTCTTTTGTTTCGTGTAGGCCTGGAGATATCTTACATTTAGTTCTCAGCCATGGCTTGCAGGTCTCCCACCCCCACTGTGAGAACTCCCAGGCCTACCTTAGATGATCCCTTCCTCTTCTCGGCTTCCAGTTTCTTCTGCTTCTCGGCTTCCTGTATGCTGATCTTCTTGGATTTCTTCTTCAGTGCTTCAAAGAAGGGCAGAAAGAGCAAAGCCAGATGTTTCTGGGGTCCACGTGGTGAAGTGGGAGGGGTAGAGGGGGCTCTGGGAAGTCTCGGAGTGGAAGACAGAAAGAGGGACTTCGGGATGGATCACATTATGGGAATCAAGCCAGCAGGTTCTCATTAGCCTGGCTTCAGACCTAAAGAGCAGTGTGCTCTGAGGGGAGGCAAAGAGGAAGTCCAAAAAGGACCTGGGTGGGATCTGTCTGTGGCATCTGTTAGAGACCTGGACTTGGTCTTTTGACCTTGCTAGCCCTTGATCACCACAAGTACCTTTAACCTTGCAGGTGCAAGTGCATTGTGAGTCTCTGGAAGTGGACTCAGTCTTCAGTTCCTGGCACATCTGTGTTATCTATGGTTTTGTTTATTTATTTATTTTAAATTCTCAGAGCTCAGAGCCAGGTTCGCCTGACTTGAATCCATGTAACAGCTGTGTGATCTCCCTGACAGTCAATTTCCTCATCTACAAAAAGGATTCTATTGTAAGTAAAGTATGTTAGTAAAACAAAAATCTGACATGGGGCTGGAGAGATGACTCAGCTGTTAAGAACACTTGGTGCACTTTCAAAGGACCCAGATTTGTTTCCCAGCACCCACAAGGTGACTCACAACTATCTATAACTCCAGTTTCAGGGGCTCTTCTAGATTCTTCTGGCCTCTGAGGGTACCAGGACTGCACATAGTGCCTAGACATACATGAAGGCAGAGTACCCATCTACATAAAAGTAAGATATTTTAAAAAGTCTGACGTAGCAATGGTGATTAAGGAATATTGGTGTCTCCCCTCTTCCCTCTTTTGACTTCTCTGATATGTCTAGACCAGCAGTTCTCAACCTGTGGGTTGCGACCACTTTGGCAAACCTCCATCTCCGAGAATATTTACATTAAGATTCATAACAGTGGCAAAATTACAGTCGTGAAGTAGCAACAAAGGTAATTTTCTGGTTAGGGGTCAGCACATCATGAGGAACTGTATTAAAGGGTCGCAGCATGAGGAAGGTTGAGAACCACTGCTCTAGACCACCTTTCTGTGCTCAGTGAAATGCAACTCAGTCAAGAGTTGTGAGCTCACATGTATAATTTGCCTCTGTCTGAATTCTGGCTCTGGCCATTAGGAACTGATGTCAGTAAGCTCCAGTTTCATCAGCGGTGAAATATAAGTAAAACCAAGAGCTACCTCTCGGAACCTACGCGTGTCTCCTTTTATTTTGGTTACAGGAACTGAATCTCGATGTCTTGCATGCTAAGCATGTGCTCTGCCCTTGTGCTCATCCTGAGCCTATGCCCTTTATGATCAGGTGAGATCAAACCAGGAGATCGCTAGCTAATGCCAGACTTCGATGCTCCCTGTAACTTCCCATCCTATGGCGAGACTGGTCTATTGCAGACTTAGTTCTAGTCCATGGTTTTCCTAAGGTTTGTTTTGTTGGGGAGTTTTGGGATTCATTAAGTTTTACAAATGCTAAAGTTAAACTAAGTCCAGCAGCCTCTTGACTTGAGGCCTCTTCAGATCTCTGACACACTCAACTTGGTGGCATGCAGAGCTCTCCCAAACCCAGGACACTGTGTTTCCCTAGGAATGAGCGAGAAAGAGCCGTAGCTAAGCTGCTGGCAGCCTGGGCAACAGGCTTGACATACTGCACCCGCTCTCATGGATCAGAGCCTAGGGGCTGGGTCCCAGGCCAGGCTACTTACCCACAATAGAAACAGAAGAGAAATCCTTGCAATCCGTGGAAGAGTTGGTCCTCAGACTCTTGTCATCTCTGAGCGTCTCCTCAGGTACCAGGTGGCTGTAGACAGCAAGGAAGCACAGGAAACCCACTAGAGTGGCCAGGAGTAGGCGCGTGACGTCCATCCTGAAAAGCCTAAATTGGACAGAGGAGGTGGTTGGTGGTGGGTTCGGAGAGAAGATGGCGGTAGGAGGATGTGCCTTTGGGCTGGCCGTCTGACTCTGCTATACAGTATCTCAGCAGGGCCGGAAGTCTGGCAAGGCTGAGGGCAGGGATGTTGATATAGGGAGATGACAGAAAAGGAGAGATGGGGAGAAGGGAGCAAGACGAGGAAGGGAGGGAGATTGAAAGAGCACAAGAATGCATTGTGTTGGTCTGCGCTGTCCAGAGGGCGGGGTACTGACTCTTTCTGTTTCTTTTCTTTTTCTGTATAAGCAGCGGTCCCAGGGGACCTTAGGCCTAGGCAGAGCTGTTGAAAGTGCCCCCCGCCCCCCAGGAGTGCCTCACAGTGGCAGAGGTCTTACCAAGGTGAAGAAAGTACAAGTTAAAAGTCAGTGAGAGGGATGAGGGATGAAGGTCCCTGAAGACAAGTGGATGCCATCTCATACACCAGATTCCCTGCTGGTCCAGAGGGAACAGATGCAGGTAGGGATGTGGTAGGGCTTGTCAACATAAGATAAATGGATTTCTTTATTTACTAGCTGGAATTTGAAGGGGCAGATGGTTTTTAGCAGGTTTCTTTCCTCAAATGCCTTTTGTCACTATGGGATCCCCATCCCTCCCCACCCAACTGCCCCATTTCCCTCTCTGGTTTTGGAAAAGCCTGGGTCTGCATTTCCAATGTTCCCTCCACCCGAGACACAAGTACTGTGAGAGAGAAGAGAATAACATAGTTTGCCCATCCCGATCCTACCTGGGCTCCCTGTGCTGCTGTCTGGCCAGCTCCAGCCTCCTCCTCTCCACTCCCCACTCGGGTGGTGTGCTGGCTAGTTTTATGTCCGTGTGACACAAGTCAGAGTCATTTGGGAAGAGGGGACTTTGGTTGAGAAACTGCCCCCACCAGACTGGCCTGTGGGCAAGCCTGGGGTGCATTTTCTTGATTGATGACTGCTGTGGGAGAGCCCAGATCACTGTGGGCAGTACCACCCCTGGGTTGGTCGTCTTGGGTGCTATAGGAAGGCAGGCTGAATAAGCCATGAAGAGTGAGACAGTAAGCAGTATTCCTCCATGGCGCCTGACTCAGTTCCAACTTCCTCTGGTAATGGGCTGTGACCCGAGAGTTGTAACCTGGAATAAACCCTTTCCTCGTCTAGTTGCTTTTGGTCATGGGGTTCTAATGCAGCAGTAGAGACACTCAGATGGTTGGCATCAGGCATTCTGCATGTCTGTTACACTGTAAGAGAAGACCCAGGCAGTTGGCCTCCACCCCTTCCAATCTTCTTGAAGTTGTAGCAGATGGTCCTGACCTTTAGAAGTCCACCCACCCATATGGCCCTGATGCCATTTCTGGTCGCCTCGGATCTTTTTCATCACTGGGCACTGCCTGGCATAAACTCACCACCAAATTGCTTTCACAAAGCCTACTTAGTTGAGAGTGGGCACTGGCCAGACCACTGTGTTTTCAGTCTTGAGTCTTGGCTCAGTTTTGCTCAACTCTGGGCAAAAGTGCCCTTTTTGTCAGGCTCCAGTTTCTTTCCTGGTAAGGTGAGAGGAATGGACTACATCAGTGGTTTGCACTCATATAAGGCTGACTCTTTAAAACAAAGGTGACAAATATATAAAATGGGTCTAGGTAGCTCAGTTGACAGGGTACTTGTCTAGCGCACACAAAGCCCTGGGTTTAATTCCCAGTACTGCATAAACTGGCAGTGGTAGTATATACCGATGATCTTACCCTTAGCACTCAGGAGAATGAGAAGTCCAGGGTCATCCTTGGCTACATAGTGAGTTCAAGGTCAGTCTAGGATATAACTAAGACCCCATCCTCTGGCCAAAAAATATAAATAAATAAATAAATAAATAAATAAATAAATAAATAAATAAATAAATAGGTAACACAGAAGCCACTAGATCAGGTCTCACCTGAAGACCATCTTATACCTAGGCTTCCATGTAAACCAACGCTTCCCTTGTTTTAAGCTAGTATGAGTTGAGAGTTTTCTTCTCAACCCAAGGCTTTTTTTTTGGCGGGGGGAGAGGGAATTGTTATTTGTTTTGGTTTCAGATTTTCTTCTTTTCAAACAAACTCTCACTGTGTAGCCCATGCTGACCTGGAACTCACAATGTTGCCCAGGCTGACCTTGAGCTTGCCTCCGGACACCGAGTGCTGGGATTACACGTATAAGCCACCACACCCAGCTTTTAACCCAAGGCGTCCTCAGAAGTACTCTCCTGTCATCTGCAATAGGGGTTTATCTTACAAGTGCTTTAGATCTAACACCAGACTTCAAGCAAAAACCAAGCAAAATCAAAGTTCAGATTTTCTCCAACGTGGCAAATCGTGGCTGACATTTTTCCTCTCCCTTCTCCTATATCTTACCCTCTCTTTCCTCTGATGCCCCCTTTCAATGTGCAGCAGAATAAGTTAGTATGTATTAGGCTGCCTTTGGGGCTCATATTTTAAAAAACATCTCTTTTCTTTGAACACCGTGATCACTGCCTACATCGTGAGACAGACACATACAGCAGCAGACTGGCTGTGAAGACACGTGACTGTTTCTTTCCATCCTCAAAGACCCTCTCTGAATAGGACATTGGGCAGAATCATCTACTCTAGCATAAACCCCTCTCCTGGCTTCCCTCACAGTGCAGAGGTGGCCTGGAACATGGGCAGTAAGTGCCGAGCTTGACTCTGCTGGAGGCCTTCCTCCAGGGACCGTCTTCCCCAGAAAAGAATCGCAGTGGCCACCTTTGTCTGTCTCTTCCTCTCCCTGACCTTTCTGTTTTCTTACCAAGTTTCACTTTATGTTCCCTTCAAACGGTCCGCTTGTCTTTTACTCCAGCCTCACTTTCCTCCCACCCCACCCCTCTCTCTCGACAGGGTTTCTCTGAGTAGCCTTGGCTGTCCTAACTCACTCTGTAGACCAGGCTGGCCTTGAACTCAGAGATCTGCCTGCCCTTACCTCCTGAGTGCTGGGATTAAAGGCTCCCCAGCCTCACTCTCAATGGGAAAACTTCATACTGACTCCATCCCCCTGCTTTTCTCTTGCTTATGTATCACCTTGCTCATCTGTCTATCAGCTCATCCTCTCAATTACTCCCGTTCTGCCTCCCCCTCCCCCAGGGCCCTGTTCAAAGGCTGGTTCTAAGCGCTTCTCTTCTTTCAGCCAGGCTGGCCCAAATGGTACGCTCTCCCTTTTTGAACCCCCTTTCTCTTCAATTCAATACCGTGGACATTGTTCAGAGCTTCATTGTTCTTTAATTGTTCACAGGGGCTGTTCTCATCAGTTAGACACAATGCTTTGTGTAAAGTAGGTAACAGTGAAGCTGAGAGAAGTCGGATCTGTGGTTAGACAGACGTGACTCCATCCCTTACCAGTTATATGAGCGTAGAGGGGAAAGAGGTCCTCTGACCCCCTCTATGTTCTTATGTGGGCTCTTTGGTTGCATCTAGGAACCCAATTAGTATAAGAACTGATTAATAAGAGAAAAAGCATAAAGTTTTATTAAATTTACATGTATATGGGGATCTTCACAAGAGAATGAAGTCTGAAGAAATGCCCAAAGCACGGTGCTTTTATGTTCTTTAGACAAAGAATAATAAATCTGTAATGACAAGACAATTGGCTATCTGGATGAGAGGAGTAAATGATGGAATTGTTGCTAAGAGATATATGGGGTGAGAGAAATCTAAGGCAGAGGGGATGCTGCATTTAAGAAGCTACAAAAGGTTCATTGAGATGGCAGGTAGACACAAGGGGATGAGACTTGTAAATGATGCTAAGCAGTTTGAACATTGTCTTTAACTGAAAAAGAATTGTGGATGAGAAAAAGGACTTAATCAGATTTGCAACATAGAAAAATCACTCTGGCTGCTGTGTGGGGAGGGGAGGAAGGAAGACAATGAGGAGATGGATGCTGGGCTCAGGGCTAGCAACACCCTGCTTCCCGCCATCTTTCCAGCCTTATTTTTCTTGTGTTCATTTTTCACACACACCCATACAATCACTGGAACTGAGTGATTGAGTGTGTAGAAGTATAAATTCCAGCCAAACTTAGCTGCTTCTTGGCCCCTGTATGAAGCCCATTCTTCCCACTTTTTCTTTCAATTTTTCCCCCTTTTTTGAGACAGGGTCTCATACTTAGTTAAGAACGTCATATTTGTTCTGTGAGTGTCTATGAAATTGTGGCATAATTAATTGCTGCCTTGGGTAAAGATATTGATGATCCTTACTTATTAAAAAGCAGATGTGCCAGCCTGACAGCAGTGGTGCATGCCTTTAATCCCAGCACTCAGGAGGCAGAGGCAGGCAGGTCTCTGTGAGTTCAAGTCCAGCCTGGTCTACAAAGGGAGTTTTAGGACAGCCAGGGCTACACAGAGAAACCCTGTCTTAAAAAACAAAAAGCAGATGTGGTGCGGGGATGTGGCTCAGGGGATAAAAGCATTTGCCACGAAAGCCTGACAAACTGAGTCTGGGTCTCCAGAACCTGTGTGAAAATGAGACACAGAAACATAGGCATCTGTAATCCTAGCCAACCCTGTGGAGAAATGGGAGGCAGGAGAATCCCCAGACCCCCAGGCCAGCTAGCCTGGCATATTCGATGGTGAAAAGACTTTGTCTTAAACAAGGTGGAAAGGTACTCATGCCGTGACTTGTGTGTTTGCACCCCTACCACCACATAAGCACCCATGCGCTCATCCCCCCCAAAAAACAACAACAACAACAAAACAAAACAAAACAAACAAACAAAAAACCCACTAAAAGGCAAATGGGAGGCGGGATGTAACTTAGTTGTGCTTGCCTAACAAATAGGGTTTGGATTTCCCCACCTCCCACTCCGTAAATGTGCACACCTATAATATTAGCACTAGATTTTTCTCTGATACATATTGAGTTCAAAGCCAGTCTGGGATACATAACACCCTGTCTCAAAATATAAATAAAGAGGACCTGGTTCAATCAGCGGATGAAGGTGCTTCTTGTTTTGCAAGTCTGGAGACCAGAATTTGATTCTCAGCATTTACATAAAAGTGGAAGGAGAGAACTGACCCCAAAGAGAAACTGTCCTCTGACCGCCACGCTTGTGCTGTGGCGCATATGGCTCCCCCGGAAATACTAATGAAATGACATCTAAACAAACAAGCAAGGAGCTGGGGAGCTGGCTCAGTGGGTAAAGTACTTGCTGTAGACGAATGTGGACCTGAATTTGGGTCCTCATCACCCACAAAGAGCTGGGGGAGCCTGTCTGTAATCCCAGGACTGAGGTGAAGGATTGGGGAGCCAAGTAGATGCCCCAGAGCTTGCTTGCAGGTCCAGCCAGAGAGCAAGCACCAGGTTAAGTGAGAGACTGTGCCTCAAAAAATAAGGTGGGATCTGGGCACAATGGTATACACCTGCTATTTCAGCAGTTGGGAGGTAGAGGCAGGTAGATCTGTGTGAGGCTGAGGTCAGCCTGTCTACATAGTGAGTTTCAGGCCAGCCAGG